TGTATCTTTGCATGTGAGATGGGTTTCCTGGATATGGTACACTGATGGGTTTTGGCTTTTTATCCAATTTACCAATCTGTGTCTTTTGATTGGTACATTTAGCCCATTTATATTTAGGGTTAATATTGTTATGTGTGAATTTGATACTGCCATTTTGATGCTAGCTGGCTGTTTTGCCCATTAGTTGATGCAGATTCTTCATTTTGTTGATGCTCTTTAGCATTTGGCATGTTTTTGGAATGGCTGGTACTGGTTGTTCCTTTCTATGTGTAGTGCCTCTTTCAGGAGCTCTTGTAAAGCTGGCCTGGTGGTGACAAAAATCTCTGAGTACTTGCTTGTTCGCCAAGGATTTTATTTTTCCTTCACTTATGAAGCTCAGTTTGGCTGGATATGAAATTCTGGGTTGAAAGTTCTTTTCTTTAAGGATGTTGAATATTGACCCCCACTGTCTTCTGGCTTGCAGGGTTTCTGCCAAGAGATCTGCTGTGAGTCTGATGGGCTTTCCTTTGTGGGTGACCCGACCTTTCTCTCTGGCTGCCCTTAGCATTTTCTCCTTCATTTCAACCCTGGTGAATTTGACAATTATGTGCCTTGGGGTTGCTCTTCTTGCGGAATATCTTTGTGGTGTTCTCTGTATTTCCTGGACTTGAATATTGGCCTGCCTTGCTAGGTTGGGGAAATTTTCCTGGATAATATCCTGAAGAGTATTTTCCAGCTTGGATTCATTCTCTTTGTCACATTCAGGCACGCCTATCAAATGTAGATTAGGTCTCTTCACATAGTCCCACATTTCTTGGAGACTTTGTTCATTCCTTTTTGTGCTTTTTTCTCTAATCTTGCCTTCTTGTTTTATTTCATTGAGTGGATCTTCGACTTCTGATATCCTTTCTTCTGCTTGATCAATTCAGCTGTTGAAAGTTGTGCATGCTTCACAAAGTTCTCATGTTGTGTTTTTCAGCTCCTTCAATTCACTCATATTCCTCTCTAAGTTGTCTGTTCTTTTCATTTCCTCAAATCTTTTTTCAAGATTCTTAGTTTCTTTGCATTGAGTTAGAACATGTTCTTTTAGCTCATGGAAGTTTCTCATTACCCACCTTCTGAAGTCTGATTCTGTAATTTCATCACAATTATTCTCTGTCCAGCTTTGTTCCATTGCTAGTGAGGAGTTGTGTTCCCTTGTAGGAGGTGAGGTGTTCTGGTTTCGGGTGTTTTCCTCCTTTTTGTGCTGGTTTCTTCCCATCTTTGTGGATTTATCCACCTGTCGTCCTAATAGTTGCTGATTTTCCGATTGGGTCTTTGAGTAGACGTCCAGATTGTTGATGATGAAGTATTTCTGTTTCTGGTTTTCCTTCTAACACTCTGGCCCCTCTGCTGTAGGACTGCTGAGGTCCACTCCAGGCCCTGCTTGCCTGGGGAACACCTATAGCAGCTGCAGAACTGTGAGGGTTGCTACTAGTTTCTTCTTCTGCTATCTTCGTCCCTGAATGATGCCCGCCCAATGTCAGTCCGATCAGTCCTTTGTGAGGTGACTCTTTGGATATATGCGGGTTAGGGAGCTGCTTGAGGAGCCAGTCTGTACTCAAGTGCTGAGCTGTGAGCTCCATTGTTCATTCAGGGCTGCTAGGCAGGTACGTTTAAGTCTGCTGCAGCAGAACTCATAAAGCCCCTTTTTTTCCTCGGGTGCTCTGTCCCTGGGAGTTAGGGCTTTATTTATGAGTGTCTGTTGCACTGTCCTGCCCAGCAAGGAGGCAGTCTAGTCACTGCCTGCCTGTAGTGGCTATGCTGAGCTGCTCTGGGTTCTGCCCTGCTGCCGTGGGCTCCGCCCTGCTGCTGCATGTAGTTCCCTGTAGTCTTGTGTATAAGGGTGTGGTTAGAACTGCCGTGGTGATGGTGGCCCGCCTTTGTAATGGCGGACTCTATCTGTTATGGCAGGTTGCCTCGGCAATGGCAGGCTGCGTCAGCAATGGCAGAGTACCTTCATAGTGGTCGAGTGCCTATGTAATGGCAGACGCCCCTCCCCCACCGAGCTGCACTGTCCTGGGTTCAGCTGTGCTTGCCATGAAACTCTCAACCCCGAGCGTTTCCAATTGCTGTTTTGTTTGTTTTTGTGGGGTTGGGAACCGCCGAGTCTGATCACCTGACTCCCTGCCTCAGAGCACTTTTTTTTTTTTTAAGTTGAACGGTTGACTCTCTCCCAGGTGTTCCAGTCACCTGCTGAAAGGGCGCCGGGATCTGTGTGATTTCCTGTGTGGTGACCCACTGCGCCGGCCGAAACAATGTCCCTGCCTGGGTATCTCCTGGCCTGGCTTTCTGTTTAAGTCCCATTTAATCAGATGAATGTGCTAATCTGCCTTCCAAAATCTCTAATTGCTGGTTTAACAGGGCAACCAAACCAGTGTATTTTGTACGGAGTGCCGCTGCACTGTGGCACCCGCTGAGACAGCTGTGCTGGCCCAAACAGCCGCACTGGTGGCCCGTGGGGCTCCTACACCTGGGAATCTCCTGGACTGTGGGCAATAAAGATATGTCTGGAAATGCGGCATCCACTCACCCTCTGCACTTTCACTGGGAGCTGCAATCCTGATTTGGTCCTACAGCGCCATCTTCTCTGGGGACGGCCCTGAGGATTTTCTTAATGGTTTATAAGACATCTTTATGCATCAAGAATATTAAATCTGCCATATTTGTTTCTAATTTTTTATCTGGTTTGTACAGCCTCTTAATTATGCCAGTGATATTTTAATTGCACCAAATTTTACATTTTTTTTTTTTTTTTTGAGACGGAGTTTTGCTCTTGTTACCCAGGCTGGAGTGCAATGGCACAATCTCGGCTCACCGCAACCTTTGCCTCCTGGGTCTGGGCAATTCTCCTGCCTCAACCTCCTGAGTAGCTGGGATTACAGGCACGTGCCACAATGCCCAGCTAATTTTTTGTATTTTTAGTAGAGACAGGGTTTCACCATGTTGACCAGGATAGTCTCGATCTCTTGACCTTGTGATCCACCCACCTCGGCCTCCCAAAGTGCTGGGATTACAGGCTTGAGCCACCACACCAGCCCAAATTTTACATTTTTATGTGGTCCCATGTCTCCTATTACGATTTGCTTTTTCTTATTGTATTTAGAAAAGCTTTCCTCATCAAAGCATAATTAAGTATTTCCCATATTTTCTTCTAGTATTTATGGTTTCGCTTTTTACTTGTCAGATAACAAAACTGATAAGGCAGGAAATCTAAATGAGGTAAACTGACCATTGCAACAGAATATATTTTTCACTTCTCAAAATGTCATTTATCGGGTCACAATTCTAAGCACTTGTGCTAATAAATACATTATGGCCTCTCATATGGAAGTGCTTGTTCACCTCTCTTCCTGAACCCAGATCAGCTCAGCCATTGCTGTATTTGATACACCTTGATCTCTAGCCTGAAACCTGCAGCATCTCTATGCTATTCCTGTTCTGGGCAGAAAATATGTTAAAAGCTTCAATCCAACTCTAGGTGGAGTGTGACTTTACTCGTGTCACCATTGTCTCAGTGGCTAATATCCTGTAGCAACTCTGGCACTACATACCCACCAGATTCTAGATTTCCCCCAGCCTCTGCTGTGTCACCTTAATCCATAGGATTGGACATTAGCTTGTTTTTTCCTTAGTACTATATTTTCCTGATGTAACTGAATTCCTAAGCTGAGGCTTCCTAGACCTTGTCATAGTTTTCCTTCCAGGGAGCTGGATTTAGCCTTTGGCAGTTGACAGTCTCTTGAAACCTGATACCATTTCCTGCTTGCTCCCAAGCATTGTTTTCTCCCTGGACCTCCTCCTCCTGGCTTAGCTTTCCTCATTGGGCTGGGTAGATCTCTCCATCAGAACTTGCCAAAACCAAGCCCAAACTCACATGCTTTTTAATATTGTGCCCTTAATGCGGTCAGCCCCTGGGTGGTCCACCAGACATCCGGGTTACTACTCAAATTATAATTTCAACTCACCCACAGACAGTATACAGATTGATTTGGCTTAATCTTATGGAAACAGAACCAAGAGGCACTTTTCTGTCTTGATCACTATTTGTTAAGGTGGTGTGTATGTAGAGTTAACTATATATAATAGTCCCATAATTACCCTTTGGGGAAACAAAAGTCTTTGTGTGTTTTTAGATAAAGGTAGCAAAATGGAAACTTCCTGTTGCGTTTCTAAGCACTCCTTCCTTTACACCCCTGTCTTCTGTGGCTGTTTTAGCCAGAAATGATACGTGATGTCTGTCTTTAAGAGAGGACAGTGGCCTTGACACATAGTGGAGGAAGCTCTGTCATCTCATTCTTGATGATGGCTTTTCAGTGTCAACCAACTGTAATTTCCTATTGGTGAAGTTTTCATGTTTTCAGTCTGTCTGGGCTTGTTCTTTGATCACCCTCATCTGAAGAGGAAGCAGGAAAGAACTGTTGCCCCCTTTGAACTCTTGTAGAATTCATGGTTTATTGTATCAATTTGTTACCAATCACAGACTGTCTTGTTAACTTTTGGTATCTGTCATTTTATTCTCCCCTAACCAGGTAGAAATGTACCCTGTTTAGGCCCAGGGCCTCCCTCAGCAACCTTGATTGGCTCACCAGCCAGGTTGCTTAAGACTTGTTTCCCTGGTAGCTGGTGTCCCTACCTTTTTCTTTTGCTTTGTCTGTGCTTGGGAAATGCACGTTATACTCTGTGGAACAGATCTGCAAGCAGTAAGAAACAGAGATGTGTAGAGCCCAGCATGCTGGAGGGCTCTCTGCATCTGGCTGTGAGTGGCCCCTGGACTGGGACCGTGGGAGGACAGCCTTCCATAGTTTAACATAAATGAACCACACCATAAGGACAATCTGCTCTCATTTCACTCAGCTAGGATTTAGTGCGTACTGTTAAGGCACAGTTTGCACTGGAGTAATTGGAGAATGGAGTTTGCCCTTCTCAATCTGTGCACAATCTGTTAGCAGCTAAAAACAAATGTTAGCAGTTGTAATTACCATCAGTTTGTCTCCAGGCTTGGATCACATTCCAGGTGTTAGAAGAGATGGTCCGTTTCCTTTTTTTATTCCTTTAAGTCCCATGCCCAGTTTCAAGTAGCTTCACAGGGCAGTTGTGCTGCAGAGATTTACCTTATAATAGGTTTAGGACTCTTTCACAGCTTGTGTCGATTCCTGCATTTGAACTTTGCTGTTTCAAGTTAGAAAGACCTTGCTGAGGTGTGGCTACCTCTAAGAACACTGTTGACTGGGTGCCATGGTAACGTTTGCAAAGTAGCTACTGCTAGGATACAGCTCTGACACTTGTTACTTTATTTGCATATCAAGCCACCTGTTCCAAAGATGAAAATATACAGGACTGCATATTCCAGTCTGGGTAAAAGGGGTAATAGCTGACTGTTGCAGAGAATGCGTTGAGGTTTTCCTTCCTCTAGCTGAAGTATCAAGTTCTGAGGGCCTGTTCTTCAGCATTTTCCTCTGGTCTAGAGAGGTGCCAGGCCTGGTGGTACTCTTGCCTGTGCAGGTGCCAGGGCTTCTCCTTGGGATGCTTGCCCTCTGTGAGAGGGAGCAGAGAGTTGACTTCCCCCAAGGGCCCCACAGTCCTTAAAGGGGTTGTTCTCGATTCTGTCCAAACCTGGACTATGTGTTAGCAGTTTCCCTCCTCTTAGAAATTGCCTGGGAGATTCTTGCTATTGGTATGCATGTGGTTCCCTACAGTTTAAGACAAGCTTTGTTCCTGGATCAGTTGTAGTCCCTTCTCTGTGGCCCACGGAAGAGCCACTTGTCCTTCTCCATTCTTTTCCTTAGTTTCCCTTGACCCCCACACTGTCTCCTAGACACGAGGCACATTGATAGTCATGGTTCACTGTTTGTGAATCACTCTGGATTATTCCCTCATTCCTCTTCCCCAGGCCACCTAAAGGAGCAAGTGGGGATCGCTACGTGTACATTCAGTAGTAACTGCTGGCTGTAAGCAGACATACTCTAAAAATAACCCAGGGATACTGAGCACCCAGAGGGCACCTTCTGCCTTCTCCCAGCGTCGCCACTCTTGTTTCCACTGTCAAACTTCCAGACTACACAACAGCACGTATCCTTTCTCATCCAGAGTGCTCCTTCTAGACAAGAGGTTTTTGTCTCCTAAGGGTCTCAGGTGCACTCATGAGCTCCTCAGCCGGTTATTTTCAGTTTCATCTTCCTTGGTGCTTTCTCTGGCACATGGTCACTGCTGCATCCTGTCGCTTCCCCACCATTTGCCATGGGTCATGCCTTTGTTCTAATTTCTTGCTCCCATTTTCCTAGCATCTTCTAACTGAATGAACTTGTAAATATGAAACTGAACATTGATCCTCGTAGCTCCTCTTTTATTTAATTCTAATAATTGATAAATATTGCAAACATTACTTTAAAAATATTAGTTAACAAAAGCTGTTCTGATAGTTCTGTAAAAAAGTATTAGCTGTCTGACAGCTTCCAATGAGGGGAGGAAAAGACACAAAATATAATCCCAAAATCTGTACCAGCATCCCTGTGCACTGTATACCTTCAGTGGTGGATTAGATGCTCAATAAATGATACGTCTCTGGAAGGTTAAGCCTAAAGAAACAGGAAAAATGAGCCTTCGCCCATTAATATATTTACCAATTGCATTTTAGGGTGATTTTAGGGATAGGCAACCCCAGTTAGCTATCATTTTTAAAAGGTAGTTGTCTGTTAGATATAGGAAGACTCCAAGGAAGGTTAAGTTTGCAATATTCCATTTAGGTTGCTCAGTATGACTTTTAAGACTACGTTTCATCATGAGGAAATGAAGGGCCTTGACCATGGATCCTGTTCACTTGCTAAATTGATGTGTATCAGAAAGGATATGCTTGGAAGAAAGGTCTAGTTTCTCCAACAGACTCCTTTCTTCTCTATTCTGTCTTCCTTTGTTAATCTGCCATGTTTCATCTTCATTCAGATGAGTTATGATATATATTGTTTATATAAAGCTATTATGAGATTATAATGAAGAAGATCAAGGCCAAACTCTCCTACAATGCTATACATTTTTAAGAAACATTTACTCAGTTTGGTACTCCAAAAATTAATTATCTATATTCTGGCAACCCAATTTGGGGTCTATGCAAGATGGCTCATGTGTTGCTAGTTGCCGCTTATAAGGCAACTTTCTCTTTGGGTGGCAGGAAGCAAAATATTTATAAGTTATTGCTAAAATGTTAAACTTTTATTTGAACATATGGTACCCAACTAATTATATAATTCATCACTTTAGTAGCAGTTTGGTTGACACTGAATAATAGTGCTCACATTCATGTAGCAGTAACAAACTACCTGATAAAATGAACCTAATTAGAAAGCAAGCTTCAAGTAAAGATCAGAGGATTAAGTAGATTTCATGGAACTCACTAAGGAGTTAGATGGGAAAAATGAGATACGAAAAGCACTGGAGTTGAGATGAAAAGGAGACAAAAGAGCAGAGGGTGATCTTTGAGCTCGGGGTCATAAACAGGATGGCCACTAGGTGGCAGCGCAGTCTTAACAGTGGGGAGCTTTCTGTAGGACCACCCTCAATTTGCTAAATCCACAGACTTTCTCTTAGAATTGATTTTCTTCATTATCCTAGGGGAGACAGCAGCAAATACTTAGAACTAAAAGTGACTCCTAAAACTTAAACAGAGGAAGTGTAGGGTAAAGACACCGTCTTTACTTCTACAGACTGTTTAGATGCTCTAAAGAAGGCTTTAACTATCTGTGGGAAAGGACCAACTGATGTTTCCAAACCATCTGTTAAACATAGTGCTGAGAGCCTTTGCTTTGGGCTGAGCTTGTACACTAGGCCCCAGCCAACCAGACCAAACCAAAATGGAGTCACTCATGCTAAATGTGATGTAAACTGAAATTTTCCGAAAGCAAACAGATCCCAAAGCAGACCAGGTTTTTTGTTTGTTTGGTTTTGTTTTTTTCTTTCTTATGAAAACAGGAGATTCCAGCACAAGCAAGTCCCCTTGGCTCCCTAACTCTTACAAAAAAGTAACCTGAAATCTTGTTCCCACCTTAAAAACCAACTGTTCTGCTCTTCCTTGGTGGGATCTAAGACCAAATAAGTACATTTATGATGGCAACAGAGTGACATCAGTGCTTAGAGTTTTGGTCGGTGTCAAAATTAAGAGGTTGACCAAAAGGCGGGGAATTGTTAAATTAAGTTTAGTCTAAAGCTGCCTCCTTACATATTTTAGGTTCGTCCTAAAGGTTTCTTCGTACACAGCTAACTGCAACCTAACTGGAGTGTAAATGAACTATAACCTACTCTTGTACCGATCAGCAAGCTTTGGCCAAAGGCAGCCAACTGTTCAGAGAGCGTTCAAATCGGGGAAATGCCAAACTATAACAAACCCAGCTGTTTCTGTACCTCACTTCCATTTTTCTTATGTCGCTTTCCTTTTTCTGTCCGCAAATCCTCTCTGACCATACAGCAGTGCTGGAGATGCTCTGAACCTGTTCTGGTTTGGGGAACTGCCTGCTTTGCCAGTCATTCCTTGCTCTATTAAGCTCTGTTAAATTTAATTTGTCTAATGATTTTCTTTTAACACTAATACTTTTGTAAAAGTTAATAAAAATGATATTTTAGAAAGAAGATAAAAAACATATAGAACATAAAGCTATTTTTTGGTAATTAAACAGATATAAACAAATCAACAGATATAAAATTTTTAAATTGCATTTCAATAAATACAAACAGAACACATCTCTATTTTTGCTTTTGTTGCCTGTATTTTTGGTGTCATGTCCAAGAAATCATTGCCAAGAAGAAAGTTATGAAACTTATCTTGTTATGTTTTCATGTCAGAGTTTTAGTTTGAAGTCTTATGTTTAGATCTTTAGTCTATTTTGAGTGATTTTTGTGTATGATGTAAGACAAAGGTCCAATTTCATTTTTTTGTATGTGAATATCCCATTTTTTCATCATCATTTGTTGAAGAGACTATCCTTTCCCATTGTGTAGTTTTGACATCCTTGTCAAAGATCATTGACCGCATATTCATGGGTTTATTTCTAGGTTCTGTTCTATTTGTTTATATGTCTGTATTTGTGTATATATGAACAGAACAGGCTGGGCGTGGTAGCTCACGCCTGTAAACCCAGCACTTTGGGAGGCTGAGGTGGGAGGATCACGAGGTCAAGAGATCGAGATCATCCTGGCCAATATGGTGAAACCCCATCTGTACTAAAAATACAGAAATTAGCTGGGTGTGGTGGTGCATGCCTATAATCCCAGCTATTTGGGAGGTTGAGGAGGGAGAATCGCTTGAACCCGGGAGGTGGAGGTTGCAATGAGCTGAGATCATGCCACTGCACTTCAGCCTGGTGACAGAGCGAAACGCCATCTCAAAAAAAACAACAACAAAAAAATATGAACAGAACAAACATGGGAAAAAATAATTACAAAACTATATATGTTGTTTATTGAAAGTATGGATATAGGTAATTAATATAGAGAATCACTATTACTCTCATTATATTCAAAATTGTAATTAAATTTAAAAGTTATCAAGGAAATAATAAATCTTTAATGTTCTATATACACACATTTTGCGAATATTTTGCATATTTATTTATACTATTTTTATTGTGACCAACTAACTTGCTTTTTGCTTTATGTTGAATTGATAACAACATTTGCAGAATGTAGTGTATATCTAACCTATTTTTTTGTTTTGTTTTGTTAGCACCATAATAGAGGAAGCCAGTCTCAAGAAGTATGTTGATGGGAATATAGGAAGACATATATATATATATATATATTTTTTTTTTTTTTTGAGATGGAGTCTTGCTCTGTAGCCCAGGCTGGAGTGCAGTGGCATGATCTTGGCTCACTGCAACCTCCGCCTCCCAGGTTCAAGCAATTCTCCTGCCTCAGCTTGCTGGGTAGCTCGGACTACAGGCACGCACCACCGTGCCCAGCTAATTTTTTTGTATATTGAGTAGAGACAGGGTTTCGCCATGTTGGCCAGGCTGGTCTTGAACTTCTGACCTCGTGATCTGCCTGCCTCGGCCTCCCAAAGTGCTGGGATTGCAGGTATAAGCCCCCGTGCCCAGCCTAGGAAGAGATCTTAAAGTAATTTCACAAGCTTGAGATGTTCATTTTTCCTTTTTTTGAGGATACAATTATTGTTCACTTAACACATAGTAAGAACAAGCAGGAAATCGAGAAGAACAAGAATTTTTTTGTTTTATTTACTTTTTAAATAG